CACGAATACACATATAACATGAATACAAGAAACTTTACCAGTCTATCGGCCCATACGAGGCAGCTCCTATGTATTTCCACCCAAACTCATTTGCATGTTTCCAAACTACGCTTGAAACATATATACGTACGGAGCTTCGCCAAAGGTTTCCTAAGTCAAAACGTTTCACCTGCATTATGTTACAACTTAACTTTAATGATGTAATATAATAATGACAATAAATCTCAGCTTCCGAGCCTATTTTATTTTACAAGTACACATTGATTTTGGAACATGACACTTTTATAAATACTTAAATTTCCTAAGAACTAAATAGTTTCTTACCTCGTAATGTTTATGTTTAAATACAACTAGTTAATATAAATAATTACAAGTCAAATAATAAATTAATTATAATTAAATACATATATTATGTTTAGAGCTAAAAAATATGTCTTAAATTCAATACACTTCGCCTTAAATTAAAGTGTTCGGTTATGGCATAAAGTCAAAATAATGTGACCGTATTTTACATAAATAAATTAGTTACATAAATAAATAAATAAGTTACATAAATAAATAAATAAGTTACATAAATAAATAAATAAGTTACATAAATAAATAAATAAGTTACATAAATAAATAAATAAGTTACATAAATAAATCACTGCGAGACGTGTTACATCTGTTAATTCCACCTAATCTGTATTTAGGATTCACTGGAAACGTCCGGTGTAGTCTCAGATTAGGAAACACCCATGCAGTGTTGTTCCACAGTAAGGAACACATGGGAAACACTACTACAGCTGTACTGTGTCCTCCCACAGTAAGAAACACATGGGAAACACCACTACTGTGTCCTCCCACAGTAAGAAACACATGGGAAACACCACTACTGTGTCCTCCCACAGTAAGAAACACATGGGAAACACCACTACTGTGTCCTCCCACAGTAAGGAACACATGGGATACAATATTGCACAGTTCTTGGAGTTAGGAAGACACAGGGAACACTACTGCAGTGTTCCTCCAGAGTAAGCAACACAAGGGAAACACCAACACACGCACCTCGTGCTTCAGGTCGATGAAGACTGGTGAAGCAGTGGAAGAAAAAAAATATAGAGCAAATATAACCAAATTTTGGCGTTGAGCTTAATAATGACTGTCAATCTCTGGAAGGTTATTAAGACCACCACAATGACTTTACTCACCACCCAACAAGTATAGTCCTAGAATATGTTCAACACTCAAGTATACTCTCAACTGTATGTATGTATGTCTGCCTCTAGGTGTATATATACCCACTGTATATAATTGAAAAAAATGTGAAATCAATAGAGATTCCGGCAGTCTTTCTAAAATTACTTGGGAACAAGTAGGGCGCCTTTAAATATTTATTGCACATTTTATCGTCAAGATAATGATAACTAATAATTTTCTTTGCCAGGGACAGGCAGCCTGTGTATACATGTAGTGTAGGCTTCCATCGAGGTCCCATAGGTCGCACTTTTGACCCTCTTCCAGGATGAAACATACAGCAGTTGCCTCTCTCCCAGGGTACCTATTTACTGCTGTGAAAAAGAGGCAATATTTTGTAAAACCAACGTGTCCATTTCTGTCCTGGCCCGGGATTCGAACCCGGGCTAATTATGTTGATGAACCCGGGACAATTATGTTGATGGCAACTCCATAATTATATTTCACAGCCACAACAAAGATAAAAAGTAGAACACGAGACTAAACCTCCATTTCGTAGACATTATAGTGTGGGTTTTTCCCGCTCTATTACGAGCTGCGCACAGGAGTTGCGCGCACCACCAACAAGCTGCCTGTGCACACAAGCGCTCAGCGCAGCAAGGAAGAATGATATTTGAACATTACAAAGACAAGGGGGGGGGCAATGTTAAATAGATTTTAATATTCCTAACTGAACCTAATATATACACAAACTGGGCGAGGCGAATGACTTTAGTTTTGCTTAATGTTTATAATGCGTGATGATGGAACAGTATTATCGTCATTACCCATATGTATACTGACTGCTACACATATATACAAACTTCCACACACACGTATACAGACATAGTATTATATAGTTGCAGTTTTATACTGCAACAGACACGTATCCTTATTGCTACACACTCATATATATATATATATATATATATATATATATATATATATATATATATATATATATATATATATATATATATATATATTTATTTTCAGTTGCATATTGTCCTGGAGACCATTCAGGCTTGTTCGCATATATATATATATATATAACCAAGATACTTATGCCACGATAGAAACAACATAATCCAACAAACATACATATAGAACCACACGAACATGTACACTACACAAATACATCAACATATTTATTCGTACACTCGGAAGTGTATATAATTACAAAGATGAGACAGCCTCGCGTCTCGCAGGGGTTCAATCCCCGGTGTCCCCAAGTGGTTGATGGGGACCTTTCCCTTCCTTCCATCCCATCCCAGATCCCATTTTCCAAGCATCATAGTCCTATCAGAATAGCGTTTCTCCCTCGTAATCACCTGACCAAACTACCGCAGGAAAACGAATCGCTTGATGCGTACTAAACAACTTAGCTGCCCTTAAACTTAGGTCATTAACTTAGCTGACCTTTTAACTACGAGAACTACAGTGAAAATGTTATGTGACCGGGTCTTAAACTACGGTCTCAGCGCCGTTTGGGGACATTAGGATTCCTCGGCTCAATAGGCGCTCGCAAATCCACGAGCAGCGAGGCTTCGACACCGCGACTAATGGTGGGTTTATCTTTCTCTTCTGATGCATCGAGGAGAAGTGGGACACATGAATCATTCCAAAGTGGAATGACCATCCTATACAACTCTGTACATTCGCCGGGATAGCACTTCAGTTTCAAGACTGTCGGGTATGCACGAGTGGTGAAGGGTGCTCTACGAGTAGTGTGGGGGAGCTCTACCAGTCTCGCACTGTTAGGGGGTGGGTGGGAAAGAGGGGGGTATTCGGCCCCCAGTACTCCATAAACCCCAGTTCAGGGGCCAGATTCACGAAGCAGTTACGCAAGTACTTACGAATGTGTATATCTTCCCTCTATCTTTGACGGCTTTGGTTACATTTATTAAACAGCTTACAAGCATGAAAACTTCCCAATCAACTGTTGTTATTGTTATAAACAGCCTCCCGGTGCTTCGGAGCTCATTAACTGTTTAATAATTGTAAACAAAGCCGCCAAAGATTGAGGAAAGATGTACACGTTCGTAAGTACTTGCGTAACTGCTTCGTGAATCTGGCCCCAGGCTCCCAAGGTCCTCCCCAAAGGCCTGGTGAATGCAGAATGAATATTCCAACATAGGGACCTTTGTATGTATATACAATTTTACAACTGAAAACATTTGCCCCATGAAAGTATAAAAAACATTAAGCCGGCGATCTATGTTCCGCATGTGACCCAAAAAAGCCAATTTACTGGCGCGCTTTCAAAGATATTTCAGAAAATATTTAGCATAAGACAACTTTTGAAGGCAACATTTTTGTATAATTCGGCCCCGGGTTACAAGAAACTTTGGACTCATCTTAGACGGAGAGGAAATTAATTTGGGACAACTTCCAAGAGGCGGGTGAGGTCGACGGTAGCGAGGTCCAGGATGTGCAGGAATTACCTGCCGTCTCAAGCAGCTTCGTAAGGACCTGAGCTGTGTGCGTGTGTGTATGTTTTTACTGTGAGTGTGTATTTACACTGTATTTTCATTGTGTGAATTTACCTTGTGACTGAGTGTGTATTTACCCTGTAATTGACTATGTATAATTGAGTGTGTATTTACTGTGAATTGAGTGTGTATAACCCTGTGATTGAGTGTGTATTTACCCTGTGATTGAGTGTGTATAACCCTGTGATTGAGTGTGTATTTACCCTGTGATTGAGTGTATAACCCTGTGATTGAGTGTGTATAACCCTGTGATTGAGTGTGTATTTACCCTGTGATTGAGTGTATAACCCTGTGATTGAGAGTGTATTTACCCTGTGATTGAGTGTGTATTTACCCTGTGATTGAGAGTGTATTTACCCTGTGATTGAGTGTGTATAACCCTGTGATTGAGTGTGTATTTACCCTGTGATTGAGAGTGTATAACCCTGTGATTGAGAGTGTATTTACCCTGTGATTGAGAGTGTATTTACCCTGTGATTGAGAGTGTATTTACCCTGTGATTGAGTGTGTATTTACCCTGTGATTGAGTGTGTATTTACCCTGTGATTGAGTGTGTATAACCCTGTGATTGAGTGTGTATTTACCCTGTGATTGAGTGTGTATTTACCCTGTGATTGAGAGTGTATTTACCCTGTGATTGAGAGTGTATTTACCCTGTGATTGAGTGTGTATTTACCCTGTGATTGAGAGTGTATTTACCCTGTGATTGAGTGTGTATAACCCTGTGATTGAGAGTGTATTTACCCTGTGATTGAGTGTGTATAACCCTGTGATTGAGTGTGTATTTACCCTGTGATTGAGTGTGTATAACCCTGTGATTGAGTGTGTATTTACCCTGTGATTGAGTGTGTATTTACCCTGTGATTGAGAGTGTATTTACCCTGTGATTGAGTGTGTATTTACCCTGTGATTGAGTGTGTATTTACCCTGTGATTGAGTGTGTATAACCCTGTGATTGAGTGTGTATTTACCCTGTGATTGAGTGTATAACCCTGTGATTGAGTGTGTATTTACCCTGTGATTGAGTGTGTATAACCCTGTGATTGAGTGTGTATTTACCCTGTGATTGAGAGTGTATTTACCCTGTGATTGCATATATTTATAATGTCAGGTGTGTGTGTTTACACTGGCTGTGTGGGCGTGTTTGTTGACATGTAGCTACATTTAAGTTATCGGCGTATCTACGCTCGTATGTCAATATTAACCAATAAGTCCGACTTAGCTTGGGACTTACGCCCCCCCCCCCCCCCGACCCCTCAAGAACACGATCCGTAAATTGCTTTACAACCCGCGGCTCCCTGTCACCGTTTGGTGCGCGGTGGTGGCGGAGGAGCGCATGCAGGGTTCGAACCCATGTCCCCTCATTTTCAGGTCGAGCGCGCTCACCACTACATCCCCGGTGGGTCGGTGGGGGAACTGTCGGGTGCCGGGGTAGCGGGAGACGGTCTCTGTCCTGCTGACAGGAGCTGGAGGAGCGAGACGGGGCACTCTGGGAAGGCGTCCCGACAGTTTCCGTGGGTCTTGCCGTGTAAGGTGGCGGCTGTGTAGTCTCTCTTGGTCCTCTTCCACTTCCTCCTCCTCTGTCTCTGCCTCTTCTCTGCCTCCTCGTCTCCCTCTGTCTCTTCTCCGTCAACACTTCTTCCCTGTCTTCTCTTGTTCGTCCCCTTGGGATTTTTATTTCTTCTGTTTTCCTTTCTTCTCTCCTTTGGCTTCTCCGTTTCACTCTCCACTCTCTCATTTCCAGACTCACGTGTCTCATTCCCATTCCGATACATGTCCCATTCACTGACCGCCTCCGTCTGCCCCTCACCCGGGCTCTTCTCTTCTCCGTCTTCCTCACCTCCACTCTCATCATCCACATTATCGTATGCACTCTCTTCTTCTTCTTCTTCGAAAACCTTCTTCATGTCTTGATTCCTCAGGTGTCTGTAAACGCCAAGGAGAACGTTGAGAAAACAATATAAAATGGTCACACCAAAATCAGATCAAATTAAGGCAATTATATAGTTTTGCTGGAGAAACATTGAGTAGAGGAGGAGGAGTCTCGAGGACTGGAGCCCCTACCCGACGAGGATCAGGTTCGAGGATGACTTGCCTGGCCACGTGAGGAGGACCTGGTGAAAAGTGTGTATGTAGCAAGGAGGACCTTCAGGGCCAAGGTCGGTATGGCAGAGCATCTACTTAACCAAGTATTATGTAGAATAGGAAATACTTAATATCCCTGTTGAGTATCCTCTACCAGGCGAAGCTGTGTGTGTGGAAGAGGGCCTGCTAGATGAAGCTGTGTGTGTGTGGAAGAGGGCCTGCTAGATGAAGCTGTGTGTGTGTGGAAGAGGGCCTGCTAGATGAAGCTGTGTGTGTGTGGAAGAGGGCCTGCTAGATGAAGCTGTGTGTGTGTGGAAGAGGGCCTGCTAGATGAAGCTGTGTGTGTGTGGAAGAGGGCCTGCTAGATGAAGCTGTGTGTGTGGAAGAGGGCCTGCTAGATGAAGCTGTGTGTGTGTGGAAGAGGGCCTGCTAGATGAAGCTGTGTGTGTGTGGAAGAGGGCCTACCAGATGAAGCTGTGTGTGTGTGTGTGGAAGAGGACCTGCTACATGAAGCTGTGTGTGTGGAAGGGGACCTACCAGATGAAACTGTGTGTGGAAGAGGACCTACCAGAAGAGGCTTACAAAGGCCTATCAACCACAGAAGGGTTATTAAGGCCACCACAAGACCTTACTGACCACCCAGCAAATATACTTTAATCCTGAACATAGTCCAGGACGAAAGTATACTCTCTGTGTACATAGACCGAGAAGTGCGGGTATATACCTCTCGGTATATTTATCTTGTGATATATTCCTTGTGTTGTGTTGCTCGCATTATATCTACAATGAAGACCTGACTGCCGACGACCTGGGAGGAGGAGATACCTAATGAAGACTTATGAAAGACGAGGAAATCTCACCTGACAAACAGCTGGAGCATCTCGCCCGTGAGCCCTTCTGGTGAGATGGACGGCACGGCTGACAGCTCACACAGAGCCTTCCTGACACAACCGCCTCCGTCCACTCCAAGCCTGGGGAAAAAAGATCAATCAACGGTGTATAACCCATTCAACTGCAAACTTTGAACGAAATCGGGGGCATTATCACATTGAAAACTATTTAGAAATGTAAACAACTAGGCACAAAGACACTTGGAATTAAAATGGAAAAATAGATATGATGTAAGAGATGTACAAACGATTTGGCGGGTCGAAATCCGGGGGAAAATCCGAATTACGGATCTGCCCGAAACGCTACGCGTGTTAGTGGCTTTACAAGAACGCTTGAATATATAAATAAAATCAAACTCAAAAATCTTACTTACATGGATACTAGACCTTCCAGATCGTTAGCCATGGTGCCTACGGCCTCCTCCCAGTGCTCCTCCTCCTCCTTGGCTAAGCCCGGAATCTTCCGTGGGACCTCCATCTCGTACATGAACTGGATCTCCAGGTTGAGGTTGTCGGAGGCGTAGACGCGGAAGAGCGGGAAGAGGATCTTCACCTCCAGCTGCCGCCGTCCAACACGAACGGCACGATGAAGCGTCCGTTAATTTTATTTTATTTTTGTTTATATACTGTACATTTATATTTGTTTCATAATAACAGTAATGCCAATTATAATAGCATGAATTTTAAACAATTAAATAATAATAATAACAATAAAACAAAATATGTAACAATAAAAATATAAATATACCAATTTTTAACAGTCTTTCCAAGTTTCAAGTTTTTCTTGGAAAAAAACTTTCCAAGTTTTCCAAGTTTACTAAGATAAAGAGTGATAAACATTTCTTAAACTCGCAATAACGTCCAACCATCAGACAGACCACTACTGTAGGTGGGGCTCTACCAACAAATGAATGCGTTTTCGGCTAATACAGCCTTCCTCAGGGCCAGAATCTAACTTGCTTTATGTGAGAAAGTTGGGCGAGGCTGGCCCCTAGCGTCTGGCCTCCATCCCTGAAGAGATAATCTCTGATATACAGTGTATCCGTATCTGAATGATATAATGTCTTTTCTGTCTCAGGTTGAAGCCCAGACACTTAGGGCTAGTGTTACCCAACTTTGCAGGGGTAATAGTCTGGTATATGGGACGCGCATAGGCTGGTCGGAGTCGGTCTAAAGTAAACGTTTTCAGATATATAAGCATCTATGGACCCGTCTTGCGAATTTCATAGAATCAAATTTGAAATATTTTGTCCGTTTCACCTCACAGTGTTCAAGAGAGAACTTGATAAGCACCTCTAAAGGATACTTGATCAACTAGGCTGTGATTCATACGTCAGGCTGCGAGCGGCCGCGTCCAACAGCCTGGTTGACCAGTCCAGCAACGAGGAGGCCTGGTCGACGACCGGGCCGCGGGGGACGCTAAACCCCGAAATCATCTCAAGGTAACCTCAAGGTAGAGTTTTTATTCATTCGTAATAATATATTTTCTGAAACCCATATAGCTGTTTCAGTGTTTCTGAATACGTTTTCTGAGAGAATGGGGAAAAGGGGGGAAACGAAGATGGAGGAAGAGGACGAGGGGAACGGAGGAGATGGGGTGAAAATTGACGATGATAGAGAGAGAGAGAGAGAGAGAGAGAGAGAGAGAGAGAGAGAGAGAGAGAGAGAGAGAGAGAGAGAGAGAGAGAGAGAGAGAGAGAGAGAGAGAGAGAGAGAGAGAGAGAGAGAAAACCCTTACTCTACCCTCCTGACCACAATACCTGCTAACACAAATGACAAATATACTTAATGACAACATATACAATAAAGCCAACCTCGACGAAGAAAAGAAAAGGGAAGACCAATTTGAGAGCTCTCTTCTTGCGGGGGCGAGACGTCGTCACACTGAGCTCACTGGACATCACGGGATCCCACGAAGTCCAGTTGAGGCTTTCTGGAGACATCAGCACTGAGGGCTGGCTGAGATGATCGAAGTCCAGGGACGCCCAAGTGATGGCTGAGAGTAAGTCGTGGCTGGAGGAGGAAAGCCACTGACGTCTGGGGACATCCCCAGCAACACCAGCTGACATCACCAACACCGCCGCTAGGCTCTCTGTCGGGGACACCAGACTGTTATGGTATGGTGCTCGTTGTCTCACAGCCTAACACCACAACTCACCGAACACACACACACACTTACGTACTGAATAACATCTTCAGATGGATCGTTAATGTCTAAATCCTGCCATCATGGTCTGACATTGTCCAAAAAAAAAAAAAAAAAAAAAAAAAAAAAAAAAAATATATATATATATATATATATATATATATATATATATATATATATATATATATATATATATATATATATGCGAACAAGCCTGAATGGTCCCCAGGACAATATGCAACTGAAAACTCACACCCCAGAAGTGACTCGAACCCATACTCCCAGAAGCAACGCAACTGGTATGTACAAGACGCCTTAATCCACTTGACCATCACGACCGGACAAAATGAGGTGATAGCCGAGGCTATTTGAACCACCCCACCGCCGGCACTCGGATAGTAATCTTGGGCATAGCATTTTACCAAATCACCTCATTCTTTGGGGCACACGTGAGGAACACAAATGCGATTTGTGTTCCTCACGTGTGCCCCAAAGAATGAGGTGATTTGGTAAAATGCTATGCCCAAGATTACTATCCGAGTGCCGGCGGTGGGGTGGTTCAAATAGCCTCGGCTATCACCTCATTTTGTCCGGTCGTGATGGTCAAGTGGATTAAGGCGTCTTGTACATACCAGTTGCGTTGCTTCTGGGAGTATGGGTTCGAGTCACTTCTGGGGTGTGAGTTTTCAGTTATATATATATATATATATATATATATATATATATATATATATATATATATATACATATATATCGCCTACAATTAATTTCAAAGAAATATTGAAATTATATAATGATTATACAAATATTTATTAAGGCACAATTAGATAGTGCTCAGTGGGGCTCTGACGTCACTGACTTCCTCGTATCACGTGACATCTTCCATAAGACAACGGGTAGACGGTGACACTATAGTGAACAACAGGATAAGGACACTTTAGCACGACAGTTTCTGGACGTTGGGGACGCTCGCGAGAGCGGCCTGTTAGATCACACGGTCAAATTAAATCTAGAGATTATTGTAGTAACAGAAACATTACTATCTTCCCGGTAAATTATTTGTAGTTATATTTTCTTAGCTGTAACATCACGCGTATATAACCGAACACGTTCTGCCCCCACTAATAGGTCGCATTTTGCACGTTTTGACAAGCAACGTTACAAACAGCAAGGACATTTGTAACCTTGCAAGGATAGCAAGGACATTTGTAACCTTGCAAGGATAGCAAGGACATTTGTAACCTTGCAAGGACCTTATGCTACCCACAACAGTTGTCTCCCCCCCCCCCCCCGCTACCTGTTTATTGTAAACAGCAAACATTAAAATTAATTCATTTAATTAAAATTAAACAGGTGCCAATTAAAAATTAACTGGAAAAATGCATTCAAACGTTTTGGTCGTGCTGCAGGAGTCTGACCCGAGGCCCGACTGCGCTCCATTTAGTGACAAAATCATGTTAATAATTATTTATGTTCCGATTAGCTGGCAGTATAATAAATACTTACGAACGAGGTGCGTGACGCAAATCATCCTCCCCTCATGGAACGCTGAGCACTACTGACGCGCTGCCTGCTGACGGAGCCTCTCAGGACATTCATACGTCTGGCTGGGCGAGCGTTATCGTACCGCTACGACAAACAACCTCAAGCAGAACACTTTTCTAAAACAATTTAAACATAAAACATTAAAACAAAATTACAGTCAATGAACCAAGAACAAAGAAAAAGACAAAACAAAGCCATAGAAATATCTCATTAATGTCAAATTGGAATTTTGACGTCATTGTTGATAATGACGTCATTGTTGATAATGACGTCATAGTGGAGCATGACAACAAACTGAACAAAGCGCAAATGACGTCATAGACCCACTCCAGCGTCCCAATGACCTGAAATCAGTTCACATGACCCAAAAGGACGAGGCCTGGTCTGCCTGCTGATGAATACAAAAGGACCAGGAAGCCTGCTGGGAATCACAGCCTAGCGGAATTTAGGAGCAACGGTCGCATATTAATTAAAACAAAGCCAGAACTCTTATTATCAATGACTGCATGTACACTCTTCAGAAATATTTGTAAGTGATAATATTTAGCAACACGTATCATAATTTGATCAAATTCTAATGATTATAGATAATTCTAATGATTTTTATACTTAAGTGATTATAGATAATTATAATGATTATGCATAATTATGGATACTTCTGATGCTTACTATATTATTCTAAACATAATTCATAATTATTTAAACCGTCCAAAAATTATAAAAAGTCCAGTTGCTAGTGAATATAAATACTGAGTACAGCTAATTACTTTAGGAATCTGTGATAACTTGAAGATTCCTATGCAGCCTAGTTATTTAAATTAGAAGAGAGAGAGAGAGAGAGAGAGAGAGAGAGAGAGAGAGAGAGAGAGAGAGAGAGAGAGAGAGAGAGAGAGAGAGAGAGAGAGAGAGAGAGAGAGAGAGAGAGAGAGAGAGAGAGAGAGAGACAAACAGACAGACAGAGACAGAGACAGACAGAGAGAGAGAGAGATAGAGACAGACAGACAGAGACAGAGAGAGACAGAGAGAGAGAGACAAAGATACAGAGGTGGGGTGGGGAGATTGAGAGACAATCAGAAAAACAAAACTAATAACCCACAATTCAATAGCATTATACTCAAGATGTCTGTAACAATATTAAAACAAAAGAACAACAAATCAATACCCTGAAAATTTTAAGAAAAAGTTAAAAAGTTCTCTTTGGGAATATATATATAGCTTTTTCTTTATACAAAATGAATTACCACTTTATTTATAAATATTGGGATTTAAAAATGGTCGCCTGAAGTGACATTTTCTGGCTATTAATTAGTTATTTGATTATTACAACCCAATTTATCTGATATAATTGGAACAGTTCCCTATTAAAATACGCTTGTTGGGTGAAATAATGAACAATTTATATATGCATATAGGATTAAACAGTAGTCTATTCATATAAATAAACTATTTAGATAAACATTTATTTGTATATGACCACAGGGTCAAATGTTAGTATACTGGTATACACAGAGGCCAAAAAGTATCCTACTTGTATACACAAACAGGGCCAAACATTAGTCTACTTGTATACACAAACAGGGCCAAACATTAGTCTACTTGTATACACAAACAGGAGCCAAACATTAGCCTACTTGTATATACAAACAGGAGCCAAACAATAGTCTACTTGTATACACAAACAGGGCTAAACATTAGCTTACTTGTATACACAAACAGGAGCCAAACATTAACCTACTTGTATACACAAACAGGAGCCAAACATTAACCTACTTGAATATACAAACAGGAGCCAAACATTAGTCTACTTGTATACACAAACAGGGCTAAACATTAGCTTACTTGTATACACAAACAGGGCCAAACATTAGTCTACTTGTATACACAAACAGGGCCAAACATTAGTCTACTTGTATACACAAACAGGGCCAAACATTAGCCTACTTGTATACACAAACAGGGCCAAACATTAGTCTACTTATATACACAAACAGGAGCCAAACATTAGTCTACTTGTATACACAAACAGGGCCAAACAATAACCTACTTGTATACACAAACAGGAGCCAAACATTAACCTACTTGTATACACAAACAGGAGCCAAACATTAACCTACTTGTATATACAAACAGGGCCAAACATTAGTCTACTTATATACACAAACAGGAGCCAAACATTAGTCTACTTGTATACACAAACAGGGCCAAACATTAACCTACTTGTATACACAAACAGGAGCCAAACATTAACCTACTTGTATACACAAACAGGAGCCAAACATTAACCTACTTGTATACACAAATAGGAGCCAAACATTAACCTACTTGAATATACAAACAGGAGCCAAACATTAGTCTACTTGTATACACAAACAGGAGCCAAATAGCTCAGAATTCCTGGGTGTCTAGAGTTGAGGAGTGGAGGATGGAAGGTTAATATTGCTCTCAGGATTGAATCACCACTGTTCTGCAACTTGTAAGTAGCAGTAATGACAGATTAGCCTCTTGGGAGTCATTGAGTCGTTCAGCCATCATGGCCCGTTGACGTGTGGCGAATAGAGATTTGAGGAGGCAGTCAGTAGCCTCTCCAAGAAGCCTAAGGAATACAAATACGCTCCTGGTTTGTCTTCGATTTTACTAACTGTATTAATATTGCCCTTCGATCTTACTATTTATATTGCCTATCAGTTTTCTTAAATGTAATACTGTTCGTATACATTATATAGCAGTTCATATATTGCAAAGTCTTACGTGTGTAATAAATTGGACCGTTGTCAATCCACTACAACAGGTCACATAAATGACAAAACATTGCCAGAACTCTATCAGCGTGACCTGCTTGATAGACTGAAGTGCGGAAAACTGCAGGATTCGAACTAGTGGCCTCGGAGTGTGTGTGTTCCAATTTCAAACGCTAACTACTGATTTTAGTGTTGTTTTTTAGGCCTATCAACCTTTGGAGGGTTAATAATACTAGAAAATAAAAGCGGCTCGCGAAAGAGAGATACTGTCCCGTTTTCTGTTTTGGGTCCTCTGGTAGGTTAGGAGAGGACACTTTAAACACACCGTTTTCTTGACGTTGGTAAACCTTAGGAGGACGAGGAGCTGGTTACAGAACCACCACGACTCCATACCTCAGCGTTTCAGCTAATTACCTCGTCACACTCTGGCAATTTCACAATAATGGGAAAGTAAAGATCTCATTGTGAATTCACATTCAATGTCAATTTGTGGTTTTGATGTGGCACGTTTGGCCAAGTCATCCGCCACCTCGTTGAGCACTATTCCAACATGAGATGGAATCCACATGAATTTCACACTATGACCTTCAGCTGTATCTCAGCTATTCTTCTCTTACAATCCTCAACTATAGACATGAAGACTGGGTTTCGACTGTTTAAGGACTCCAGTGCTCCTCGGCTATCGACAAATACAAAAACATTTTTGTCGTCATGAGTACGTACTTCCTCCAAACACGCCAGAATGGCCTGCAGTTCAGCTTGTGTGGATGATATATAATACTAAGCCGGAGTTCAATTTTCCTGTCCACAGTCCCAAACTCCGTATATTCCCTTATTAGGACACCACACCCCTGCCCTGCCATCCTCCGCCACCGACCCGTCGCAATATACATGTAAAACTGTTGCCTCTTGGTAACCGGGATATCATGCTTCATACATACACCGTAATTGTCCATTTTAAAACCAGATCACGGCTTGTGAACCATCAAGGAAATGTAGCTCAATTTCTCCGGCAGTAGCCTACATTGTTCTGTGTTGCTCTGAGAGACAGACAGAGATCGCTTGGTGACCTGTATCCTCCTAAAAAAGTTTACTTAAACAAGTTTGCATAAAAGAATGAGAAGATAATCAATTAACATGATAAATTAGATCTCAAAAACTGGAAAATACTCTTAAATGAAGCGATCTGTTCAAATAATCCACCGATACATAAACAAATTTCATGTATCTATAACATAGAATGTCTCTCTATGTGTCCGTCTGTCTCTCTACCCAAAGTAGGGACAATCCTTGGGGCTACCCTTACCCCATTTCCCAAGAAGACACATGGGAGTGTCATATAGTCAACTGGGGTTCGAACCAGTGCCACCGTTTAAGAAATCACATAAAAGTAGTTTTATTGTTCCTTAAAATTATATAATGGTGAAGAGGGGGTTAAGCGCAGGGGGTGGACTAGGGGTAGGGGGTGGGGAGTTGAGGGAATGGGGGCAGGGGGAGGGAGGATGAAGGGAAGGGCGGGAGGGGGGAGAGGAATGGCACCCGGGCACCGCCAGGTACCCCTATTATATACATTATATATATATATATATATATATATATATATATATATATATATATATATATATATATATATATATATATATGTATATATATATACACACACATACACATAACAATTTAAACGGGTTCTACGGCTGACTGTAAGGGGACCCTTAGCCTCGAAGAAGAGCACACAAGGCATTAGAGGGGATTTTTGTGTCCCCTCCAATGCAGTTTCCATGTTCATTTGCCATACTACCCCCCCCCCCCCTTCCCCTTCTTTTTGTGTTTTATTTTGCGTTATTGGATATTTAAAGTTTACAAGTTATACATTGGTGAATACAATGAGTGGATAAAAGTTGTAGATCTCTTGGAGCTCCTCTGCTTCCGGATAGCAACCAAGGCCACAGTAAGCGTTTCACCTCTGGATCGCCACACTGAGGCGCTGAAACTGGAAACTGACATTCCACGGGTCTCTGGGGGTATCCACGAGCCTGGAGCCAGATTCACGAAGCAGTTAGGCAAGTACTTACGAACGTGTACATCTTTCCTCGATCATTGATGGCTTTGGTTACATTTATTAAACAGTTTACAAGCATGAAAACTTGCCAATCAACTGTTGTTATTGTTATAAACAGCCTCCTGGTGCTTCGAAGCACATCAATTGTTTAATAATTGTAAACAAAGCCGTCAAAGATTGAGAAAAGATGGACAGGTTCGTAAGTGCTTGCGTAACTGCTTCGTGAATCTGGCCCCTGGAACCCAATTCTTTGAGAAAGCTCAAGGTGCTCCTGCCCCAGCGACAGAACGTCTGAGATGGTATGGCAACAACGGTGTATTGACCTTCCAGTGGCCTGTACTCAACCCGTCTGAGGACAGGTTGAGTACATGTCCTGCGTCTCGTTCGTAAGTGTTTATTGTACTACCAGCTACTCGGAACATAAATAATTGTTGACACGATTTTGTCACTAACATGTTAGAATGTCCTCAGACCCGATCCATTCCATCCAGTGGTTGACCCCCAAAGATCCCTTCGTCATTTTTAATATGCTGTACATTCAAGATAGGAATATTCTAAAATATAAATTAATATTGATATATATCAGCTTACAGTGAATATTTAGGCATTGGTTAGGTTAGGTGTTTAGGTTCTGTTGGCGATTATTTGTATTTGTAGTACGTGGGTGAAGCATTTATAGCGTTGTGATTCGAACAAAATTCGTCAGTGAAGCACTTGTTCCGGAAGTGTTCGAACGTCATCAGTTGTGAGTCGTGTGCAAACCGTGTTTCATTCATAAACAGCTGGGGGTTTGGCGGGTGGAATGGAATGTAATTACTTTTGGGTCTTTGTTTGGAGGACGAGCTGCAGTAGTAAAGTTGGGTTCATTCTCGACTCACACTCAGAATTCCGGGTTTGAATCCCGGGCAGCACAGAAATGGTTGGGCGCGTCTCCTATCTAACCCGTCCTCCAAACAAAGACCCAAAAGTGATTCCATGCAACCCGTCCTCGACTCAAGTCCATTATATCCAGCGGTCGACCTCACAGACGCATTCATAAATTTTAACATGCTGTTCATTCAAAACGGGAATTTTCTCAAGTATAGATTAATATTATAATATATTAGCATATTGTGCATATATAGGCATAGGTTAGGTGTTTAGGTTCTGTTGGCGATTATTTGTATTTGTAGTACGTGGGTGAAGCATTTATAGCGTTGTGATTCGAACAAAATTCGTCAGTGAAACACTTGTTCCGGATATGTTCGAACATCAGCAGTTGTGAGTCGTGTGTAAACCGCTTTTCATTCATAAACAGGGGGTTTGGCGGGTGCATGGAATCACTTTTAGGGCTTTGGAGGACGGGCTGACATGTGTGTACTTTGGCTGAATGACCTCCCATAAGTCGCTGGCTGTAAAATCAAACAGGTGAAGGTATAATGTGTGTTTAGAGAGATGTATACCTCGAAGGTATACCCACAGTTCTCGGTGTATATACACTTGAGTTTACTCTAGCCCTGGACTATGTTCAGGACTTTAGTATACTTGCTGGTTGGTCAGTTAGGGATTGTGATGGCCTTAGCTTTCTGGAGACTGGTAGATCTTAAACCCAAGACCAAACTTTACACTGTAGGCTGCTGCAAGGTTGAATCCGGGAAGTGAAACAATGAGGCTGTGTGTATGTGTGAGCGGCATGTGTGGCTCTGTGTGTGTGTCTCAAAACAGCGTATGTTGCCTATGTGTTGCTGCATCATATAACCTCTCCCACTCTACCATTAACCGTAGGGGTGCCACGGGGCAACAACCTAGGACCTATCCTATTTCTTATATACATCAATGATCTGCCTAATGTCTCTAATGTGCTTGAATCTATATTGTTTGCTGATGATACTACTCTCATTTACTCAGACCCCAACCCGCACACATTAAATAATGTCGTAAATAATGAATTAAAAAAAAGTCCACTTATGGATGTCAGCCAACAAACTCACACTAAACATGGGAAAGACCTGCTTTATCCGATTTGGAAGCAAATCAACAAATGCAATTCAGCTTCAAATAGACAACGTTAATATCAGCAACAGAGATGATGGAAAGTTCCTTGGCCTATACCTAGACAAGAGACTCAACTTCAACACCCACATACAGACTAAGAAAGTCTCTAAAACGGTTGGTATACTCTCTAAAATCAGATATTATGTACCCTACTCTGCTCTCCTCTCACTATATTATGCACTTATCTATCCCTATCTTACTTATGGTATCTGTGCTTGGGGTTCAACCTCCAATCTACCTCAAGCCCATCATCACCCAGCAGAAATCTGCTATCTGAACAATAACAAACTATGCTTTCAGACAACACACAGCTCCCCCGTTTAAATCCCTAAACAAATTCACTCCACACAGTCTCTTGTGCCAATTACATTTACAAAACCCTTTTCTTAGGTGCAAACCCTGTTCTGAAACTCATCCTGGACAGATGTAATAGAACACATACTCACCACACCAGACATAAATATCTCTTTGATATCCCCAGAGTCAAGCTTAATCTGTGTAAACACTCTATGCAAATAAAAGGACCTAGTCTATGGAACTTACTCCCTAACGAATTGAAAAGTTGTCCAACCTTCGCCATATTCAAAAATAAAACCAAAAAGTACCTAATTTCCTCTTCATAGTTTTCAACCTAGTGCTTAACTCGCACTGTATCTAGTGCTACCCAATCCCCTAATATATGTACCTAAGCCATATAACTTTACCATTATAATCTTTTGATATCATATGATATCATGGTTGTTATATTGAGTGCATATTCTACTGCATTATTCCTTGAAATGATCCTCAAATTGTGCTACAATAAACCAATTGATAACCCTGAAATTCTACTCTAATGTATCTAATAATCCGTGTCATTATAGTGTATTGTTATTAGTGTGTACTAATCTAATCTTTGTAAATTGTGTCAAAATTTCTTACAATGTACCTGTAACATTTTTTGTCAATATTACTGGAAAATATCTACTCAAAATTATCTGTTAGATTAAGGACTTGCCCGAAACGCTATGCGTGCTAGTGGCGTTACATGAAAGTAAAATCATCACCATTACTATGTATTCTCTTAGCCCCCAATGTACCTTCTTGTATATAAAATAAAAATGAAAAATAAAATGTGGTTGTGGGCTATGTGTGGCTGTTGGTATTTTGTAAGGGGAATGTGTGTGTGATGTTTAGCTGTGTGTGTATCGTATGCGTTGTATATGTTGTGATTATGTAGAAGTGTTTGTGTCATGCGGTGTGTAGGTGTGTTTATTGTGTCATGTATATCTGTCATGTGTGTGCTATTCTTGAGTGTAATCATATATAAATTGTGTTTTGTTTGAGTGTCGTTGTATGCCGTAGCTGCCAGATGTCGACTGTGACGCATGATGTACGATGACCGTCGTGTACGTTAGTATTACCTCTCGTCGACGATGTAAACAACAAAGCCTGGCGCGCAATTTGTCCTGAAGCCTAAATAATCCACATTAATTACAACAGGGCTTGAATGAATAATTTTTTTGTATCTCGTAGGAAAGAATAAAATACGCATCTTTTTTAAATATCTTTCTTATTACAGTATCTCTAATGGAAACAAAGATATGCTTTATGAGAAAAAACTGAAAAATAAAAACGATCGCAATTGGCAACTGCGACATCCGGCTTTCAAAAAGCGCGGGAAATTTAATCATCCTAGAAATGAGGGCGAAATATTTATCAATGCTCAAAAGTACTATAATTCGCTCGATACAGATTTACGAACTATTCATGCCCATGCCACCTCTTGGGTGGGTTAATTAAAGGAAAATGTAGCGGTAAAGGTTGATTAGATGCAACCTTTACCGCTAGACTGGCAACAGCGGCTGGTCAGTCTTGCCAAAACGCGCAGATAAAAATAATCAAGATATGTTGCATATATTGTTTGTTATGTGAGCTGCGCTACACATCTAACTTATACTAACAAAATATGTGTCATTTACATAAATGGGAATTCACACAAATACACACACACACACTATGCTCAAATAAATACAAACACTTTAAGCACATATACAAACACAATCTATACATAAAAACAAACACACTATACACAAATATATACAAACACACTTTATACACAAATAAATACAAACACACACAATTTATACATAAAAACAAACACACTCTCTGTACACAAATAAATACAAACACACAATCTATACATAAACAAAAAACACACACTCTATACATAAAAAACAACAAAAACACGCAAGTAAACCAAACAACTGAACAACGGCCAACAGGACGCCTCCTCCCCCCCCCCACTCCACCTCCACTGTTTTCAAAAGTTCCGTTGTTTACGCGAACAATTCCGACTGAACAACTATCAACTCTTTCTAAGATACTAATGACTTTGTTCACCTGTAATTATACTCTGAACCGTGCCCGCCATTAACCCGTTCTCTTCAATAGTACGTCGCATTTTGACGTATAATTTCCTTAAGGCCTAAAACTGAAGGACTGATGGGAGCGGCTCGCGAAATTAACGCGATGTCCCATTTTCTGTTCGTTGGTCCTCTTGTTAGGTTAGGTTCGGGCAACTTATTCAGTGAGTCTTGATTATATTATACTCACGTCTGACGGACCGGATGGTATACCCATGTCTGAGGTACTGAGATCATAGTACACTCATATTTTTGTGACCAAGATACTCGTATACTCATGTCTGAGGGACCGATATTGTAGTATATTCATATTACAATATACTTATGTTGGAGGGACCGTGATTGTATGAGGGAGCCATACCTGAGGGATCCTGCAGCTAATGTACAAATCCGACATGAAAAGAACAATAAGCCACTACTAGTTGTAAACAAATGTGTACCTTGAAGCCACCGGTGTTGATTGCAGGCTGAAGCAGAAGCGTGGCGCGGAGGTATGGGACGGTATGGGACGCAGGGGGACGGTGTGGGACGGTGTAGGACGGCGTGGGACGGTATGGGACGTTGTAGGACGGCGTGGGACGGTGTAGGACGGTGGGGGACGGTGGGGGATGGTGTAGGACGGCATGAGACAGTGTGAGACGGTCAGGAGTCGGCCAGCAGCTTGAGTAATGAGACCGGACACAAGGGGAACTCTTCGGCGCAATTTCCTTGGGTTTTGCCGTGTAAGGAGGCGGCCGCGTAGTCCCTCTTCGTCCTCTTCCACCTCCTCCGTCTCTGCCTCTTCTCCGCCCCCTCATCTCCCTCTGCCTCTTCTCCGTTATCACTTCTTCCTGCCTCGCTTAACGTAGCAATCGCTTCCGTTTCACTTTTATTGATTTTATTTTCATTTCTTCTCTCCTTCAACTTATCTGCCTCACTCTCCACTCTCTCATTTCCAGACTTGTGTGTCTCATTCCCATCACGATACATGTCCCATTCGCTGACCGCCTCCGTCTGCCCCTTGCTCGGGCTCTTCTCTCCCTCGCTCTCATCTTTCAGACCATTATCGTGTGCGTTCTCTTCCTCATCCTCCGTGTTCTCCAAGTGTTCTGGTCTCGTGAGGAACCTGTAAAAATCAAGGCCAACACTTTAACCAGATGCTCAAACTTATCCTAACACTACGCGGTTCATTTTAAGATTTTTTAGGAATAAGTTTTGGCCAAGGCAAAGTTGCTCTTCGACAATGCATAATCTTGAAAAGAACACGATGAAACGTTCACAATAAAGCTGCAGGGTTTATGAGAGGTCAAAGGTTTATGAGAGGTCAAAGATATATAAAGTGGGTATATAGGTGGTATTACAAGATGGAGGGGACATGAGGACACTGAGGCAGCGTAGTTATATGTCCACTCTTGAAACTAACATGTTCCTGAGAGCAGAAGTCTAGGATGTTGAGCTGGAGGAGAGATGCAACATTGCACCGGTGTACTTTGGTGGAGGAGGACCTATCTGGCAGACACTTTGGTGGAGGAGGACCTATCTGGCAGACACTTTGGTGGAGGAGGACCTATCTGGCAGACACTTTGGTGGAGGAGGACCTATCTGGCAGACACTTTGGTGGAGGAGGACCTATCTGGCAGACACTTTGGTGGAGGAGGACCTATCTGGCAGACACTTTGGTGGAGGAGGACCTATCTGGCAGACACTTTGGTGGAGGAGGACCTAGCTGACGGACACTTCATAAATAAATACTTGGACGAGGACCTGACTGAAGGAGAAACAAAATACAACTTTACAAGGACACTGATCACTCCGTGGCCTCAGAGGGGCGGGCACCAACCTGCCCAAGATGAAGGCGAACGGGAATATAAATAACAACATCCTGCTGAGTGAAGGATAAGGACACACCTGGTGATAAGCAGAGTGGGAGGAAGGGAAGGGAATAGGAGAACCTACCTGAAGAAGACCTAGACGAAGGTGAGGGACGGACCTTAGGGGGGATAGGAGGATCTAGACAGAGGTGAGGGAAGGACCTGGAGGAGGATAGGAGGACCTAGACGGAGGTGAGGGAAGGACCTGGGGAAGGATAGGAGGACCTAGACGGAGGTGAGGGAAGGACCTGGGGAAGGATAGGAGGACCTAGACGGAGGTGAGGGAAGGACCTGGGGAAGGATAGGAGGACCTAGACGGAGGTGAAGGAAGGACCTGGGGGGATAGGAGGACCTAGACAAAGGTGAAGGACCTGGGGGAGGATAGGAGGACCCAGGCGGAGGTGAAGGAAGGACCTGGGGGAGGATAGGAGGACCCAGGCGGAGGTGAAGGAAGGACCTGGGGGAGGATAGAAGGACCCAGGCGGAGGTGAAGGAAGGACCTGTGGGAGGATAGAAGGACCCAGGCTGAGGCGAGGGAAGGACCTACCGGTAAAAGAGGTTGAACATCTCGCCGGTGAGGCCCTCTGGGGAGGGCATGGAGGCCATCTCACACAGGGTCTTCCTGACGCAGCCGCCGCCGTCCAGCCCGAGCCTGAGAATAAACCCACCAATAAAAATAAACAAAGAATTGCCTGAAAAAACACAGTACATGTCCTAGAAATTGTGACGGTATTAGAGCCTACAGGAGAGACTCTGAAATAAAGGAACAAATTACTACAAATACACCTAAAAAAAAAAGGGCTCAACTGGCTTTTTTGGGGATGTTTCGCATGAACAAGGAATGAAAACAACGAAGTAAAAACAAAAAAAAAAGAGCTTCACAATCATTTTGAACTGAATAACAAAGACACTGATCATTAATGTATAAGAAAAAAGAACTTAATTGATCACGTATCATTTTTTTAGCTTCTGTAATTCTTAGCTTCTGACCTTTCAGTTAGATCCACCTGAATAGAATATAACTGTTACTATACTTAACAATAGTTAATTCGGTTTGATGCCCATGATGCTCTCTTTCTCCTCCCAAGATGCCTCTCTCTCCCTAAGTTGACCTACTTTCTGAGATGTTCTCCATCCTACAGCAGCCTAAGTTAAATGTGTATGAAACCCTCCTGAGGTCCATGCTAGTGAAAGTCCTGAACCTGCCATTGGACGACTCTCAGTGGGAGCAAGCAACCCTTCCTGTAAGACTCGGCGGCCTTGGTGTCCGCACAGCCTCCCAAATTGCTCTACCAGCCTTCCTTTCCTCCTCACACGCATCGCACGACCTCGTCAGAGATATCTTACCAGCAACTCTGAGAGATTCAGCAGGAATACACAATCCTGCTTCACTGAATGTTCAAATCAGTGGGATGTTCTTGCAGCCCCAGCCACCATTATAGAGCCAACAAACCAACACAAACAGTCCGGCTGGGACCACCCATCACCACCTCGGTTCCTGGCCGGAAGCGGAGGAGCTTCAAGAGATCCATAACCTTTAGGCATTTTTTGTATCAACCAATGTATGCCTTGTAACCTTTAAATACACAATAAAACAAAAAACAAAAACAAAAGGAATGGGGTGGTAGGAGAAAAACACACAGAAACTGTATTGGAGGAGACCTAAACATTCCCTCCAATGCGTTATGTGTGGTTTCCTCCGAGGCTATGGGTCCCCCTTCTTCCAGCCAGAGGTGGTACTCCCTTCCATAGTTAATTGTTACATATATATATATATATAATATATATATATATATATATATATATATATATATATATATATATATATATATATATATATATATATATATATATATATATATATATATATATATATATATATATTATATCTACACAAGTAAAACTGTAAATGTTCGTTTGTTCAAAATCGCTAATCTCCGAAAGTTCTTCACCGATTGCTTTGAAATTTTCCCACAACGTTCCATTCGCATCTGAGCGGGTTTTTATATACAGTACATACTATATAGATATACCGCCTGTGACAGGAAAAAACATGCTTTTTTGAAAAACTGTGTTTTTCATGTGAGGGAAATCTTCGAAACCTCTTTACCGATTGCTTTGAAATTTTGACACAACGTTGTATTCGAATAGGCGCATATTTTTATATACCAACTATATACATGCTTCACCTGTGACAGGAGAAAACGTGTTTTGTTTTTAAACTGCGCCATCTGTTGGACACACGCTGTAATCTCCGAAAGTTCTTCACTGATTGCTTTGACATTTTGACACAACGTTCCATTCGAATACGCGCGTGTTTTTTTATATACTTACTATATAGATGACACTCCTGTGATAGGTAAAAACATGTTTTTTTGAAAATGAGTGCCATCTGTTGCACGGAATATGAACCCACTCTATACTAAATATGTTACGATTACATTTCAGTCTTTTCGATTGCATTGATAAATTGAATTTTCATAGATTTCGATTTCTTTTCATTTTGATTTAATTATTTTGTGTGACACTGCATTGGAATTGAGCTGTGTTGTTTACCATACCGTTCATTTCATAATTATAGATGCCACACCTGTGACAGGGAAAAACTTTTTTGTTTAAGAAACAGCGCCATCTGTTGCATGTAAGAGCAACAAACGTTATACTAAATATGACACGATTCCATTTCAATGTTTCCGATTGCACTGACAAATTTAATTTTCATACATTTTGATTTATTTTCATATTGATTTAATTATTTTTTGTGACATTGAATTGGAATTGAGATGTGTTGTTTCCCCATTCCGTTCATTTCGTGAGTATAGTTTATTTTTGTATTGCTTTTCATTTCATTTTTAAAACTATTTTTCTTATATTTCAGTGATGGAACATCAGACCATTTGATGTTCCCAATTTTCTGATGGGAACATCAGACCATTTGATGTTCCCAATTTTCTGATGGGAACATCAGACCATTTGATGTTCCCAATTTTCTAATGGGAACATCAGATCATTTGGGAATGCATCGGACGAGGGAGTGGGGAATGGTGGGGAGGACGAGGGGATGGAAGTGAGGGATAGTGGGGAGGACGAGGGGACAGGGAAGGGGTTATTACATGTTATCATTACTAAAGATAGGAAGGTTGGAAGAGACCATTCAAGAAGTCTTTAACATACTGGATAGGGGACAA